CTGTATTTTTTTAAGCAGATAGAGCTAAGGCTATTCAGAGGAAAGCTAACCTGAAGCAACATAAAGTCAGGCTACAAATACAAGATCAGTCAAGAAGGCTAAATATTAGCTCAAACAATTGATAAATGAACCTGAGAATTAGCTAACTATAGCTAGATAACTTGGAGCCAGATTAAAAATGGCTAAAAGCCAAGTCAAATTGGAGCCAGATTAAAAATGGCTAAAAGCTTTTAAGTCAAACAGGACAAGAATAAAAATGACACTACATTAAATTAAACAACAACTGTGACAACTTAACAAAGGTCACTAAAACTGTCAAAAACTACTTCAACCTGAGACAAAAGACGTTGAAAATATACTGGACGAGGACGACAAAACGTCTCATCAGCTGTTACGCAGTAAAACACGCCTGCGTTACAGAATCCTTGCGTGTCTTTGCGGTGTTTTTTTTTTGTCAACTTGCTGATCTCCAACATTTAATGACCCCGACTATAAGGTATTTAAGAGCACAAGGGTGAACAGAGTACGTCCTGGTACCACAGCAGCCTGCTGGAAGTACAACCACAGCAGTTTGTGGACGTCTTTTTCACTTTCGTGTATTTTACGCAGTAACAAAACACAGAACTGAGAGAAAAAAAAAATCCCATCACTGTGGGAAAATGAGCGGAAACACACGGTGAGACCAACAGCCACTCAGGGAACACATTTGGTAGAAACACAACACCACCATATAATAACAATAATTGATCTGTGTGCTGTAATTGTGCTCAAAGGGGAGGACGAGGGCTCCGACCGAGGCCGGGGTTGGAGGTGTTCGATGCTGCACGATGTTCTACGACCTGACATTAAAGCTGAAAACAGGCCAATGTGAACGACAGTTAACCTAAAAACTAAACCAAAATCTGCAACCGATCAGACAAGAGCAGAGACAGGAATCACCAGAGGAACATCCTGTCTGTGGACCCACCCCTTCCATCTGCCCTGGGCTCAAATAAAAGCCCCATATCCAGACCAGGCTAACGCTCTCTCTCTCTCTCTCAAACACACACAAATCCTCTTTCAGCAATCAATAATTCAGCTAAAGAGAAGCACATGATACGCCCCACTGCACTGATCAATACGAAGCCAAACGTTATTGTTTTGTCTCATACTCTGACTTTCACATTCTAATCTGGGGCTGATGAGAAACCAAAAAAAAATTTAACTCCAGTCGCTCTGGGCGGGCGGGGGGGGGGGATTGTGGGAATTTTCAGATGCTGACCTGGCATGGTTGTGCCCATTAGGCCCGTGTTGAGCTGCTTCCTTCACCGTCCAGCCCTGGGTTCTAACCAGGTGCAGATGTTCTATAAATTCTCCTCATGCACAGAATCACAAATATGTATCATGAAAAAACGCCGGCGAGAGCGGAGGAACGGCAGTACTTGTGATGTGAGTAATGCCCATAACATGCCACCCCCCCCACGCCCACAAACACCCCCTCACACCCCCCCCCAACAGCATCTCCAGGGATAAGGAGGAGAATGTGGCAGAGAAGATGAAAAAAAAAAAATCTTTGTGATTTGAGACTGACGTCTGTTTATGAGGAGAGGAATGTGAGAGAGAGAGAGCACTCCCCCCTCTGTCACCCCCCCTCCCCCCCTCCATGGATGGTTATTAATGGGAGTGTGACAGAACTGTCCACGCACGCCTTCTGACCACGTCCTCCACGTCCTACTGACCCTCTCACCTCCATCCTCTAAACCCCACAAGGCCACGGGTGACACCGACTAACCATAAAGGATGAATATCAATGACGCCTGTCTGT